ATCCAAGCAGGGATCTTTGGATGTCCGTTGTAAAACTCCTAGGTGGTCTATGTTCAACCAAAAAGAACCTAGGACCTTTCAGTTCTTTAGCTGCTATTCATTTCAGGTCTTTGCCAAAAATGTCAGATACAGTGTTCCCAACTACAGATGAAGACTAGTATATCATCTGGATGGAACGACGCCCTTGGAAAATATCCATGAAAGGCCTATCGTCGTCCCACGTTTAGGGAGGAAAATGACCAGTTGAAACCAAGCACCAAAGATTCTAGACCCAATATGACCCAATTACATTATATACATCCAACAGAAACCTTGAAATGTGAACGAAGTAGAACCCCCCTTTGGTTTCAGCTGGCTTTGGATGGGATACATTGAATGATCCTTTTTCAGGGGATTCACCGGTGGATAGTGAAGCTTTTTTTGCAGCTTCCATATGTTTCCACCCGCCAGGCTGATCTCATGAAATACCGGTCGGGTCGTAAATCTTCCTGTTATGGCTTGATGAACTGAATCCCCGAGCCAGTATGACTCCTTTTTTTTAAGCCATCAACAGAGATATGTTGCAAAATCCTCTGTCCTCCATTTATAGCTGGTTAATGTTGTTAATTCTATGGAATTCTCATAGATTGTGATCATCCCCCATATGGATAGTATCCCCCCGTATAATAAACGACCAACACATGGGGTTTTGAACACTGCGGCTGCCTTACACATGGCCTGCTTCCCATAGCAACCTATGGCCTGCACCTCCAAGGTATATCTCCCATTAAAAGGCCATTCTATCCCCATTGATCAACATGATTCCTCCATATATCCAGTATATATCCATTATGTGTATATATATATATATATCAACCAGATATAAATAAATAATACCCATAAATAACCATAATTATACCATAAATACCATAATTAAACAAACCATTTTGCCAGTTAATATATATATATATCCACCATTTTTCTTAAACAAACCCAGCCAAGCCAACTTCAAGGGTCTCCCAACTTCGTGAAAAACCGAGGATCCATATAGCGGATCTGCATCGTGAAGACCACCCACACCTACGGTGATATTGGGGCAGACTAAGCAGAAAACAACGAGATGATCCAAGTAAATGTATATAATATGTGTATAATATGTGTATAATATGTGTATATATATATATACATATATAAACATCTATAAACATGACCAAAAAACATTTATGATAATCAAGAAAAGGAAGAGTTAGCAGCAAAACTTTGGCCAAAGGGGTCATGTTCGAACACAAAATCTTCGTGGTAAAAAGATAGGCCGTTCACCTGCCCAAGTTGACCTTTTGATGGTGGGACTTTGCCATCAGAAGCATCGGCATTTGTGCAATCTGATGCAGAAATCTGATTTCGCAGGTGAAGAATCCGTGGGTTTTTGCTGTGAACCAGAAGCTTGCCTGTCTTCAATCATCTTTGAGTACGTTTCAAATATGGCCATGGAGTAACTTCTGCTCCTTCAGCCTGGTTTCCACATCAATCTGGTGGATGTTCATCTCCAATTACCAGGAAAAACACTCAGAAACTCAAGAGTTTTCCCTCAGAAAATTCACATACCCTCTGGTAATTTAACATAGCTATTGAAAATGGCCATTTATAGTGGATTTTCCCATTAAAAATGGTGATTTTCAATAGCTATGTTAAATTACCAGAGGGTATCTTTTCACTTAATCAGTTATAAATTTCCCCAGATATATAAATTCACATATTTATAGAATTCACAATCAGGACGATGACCTCAAGAGATTTCCCTCAGAACGCTGCCCTTCCCAGCCCAAGCACCTGCCCCAAACATCCAATCATGGAGGTGTAGGAGAGAATCTGGGCGATTCGAACCCTTGGATCAGTGGATTCTGAAATTCAGAAAGGGACCCCCAATCATTTTTCAAGATGGTTAAAACCACCTACCAGTTAAGTATGGTTATATTAAATGGTATATAAAATGGTATTTAACATTGGGAATATAACATGATATGGATATAACATTGATATACCCTCTGGTAATTTAAGTTACACTTTGCGAACTTGAAGCCATGGCCCAGTCGAACGAAATCGGTGATTTACCCATGAAAATAGCATGGTGATTTTCCCATCGGTTTTTTGTGTGTTTACCAAAGGGTACTCCTGTACTACTCCCATAACGCCCAGTATGGGAAGATCAGGAATGAAGGTCCCATCAGCCAGGGGGTCCCTACAAATTCCATGCAGGTTGGTTTGTTCGGTGTGAACCACCAAGTACCCTCTGGTAAACATACCAACAACTATGGAAAATCACCATTTTTAATGGGTAAATCAACGATTTCTATGGCCATTTTCAATAGCTATGTTACAAATTACCAGAGGGTACCAGTATAGCTCAGCTTGCTGGGTGTCCACATGCCATGTTTCCGTAGCGCAGTCCGAGTCCGTCTGCTGTTCGGTCGAACAGCTAGAAGAGAATTTCTTCATTTCTCGTACAGAAGCGATCAACGAACCTCTTTTATCACTTACCTAGTTATATCATCCCCAATAGTAACTGTTATATATTGTTGTATCTTATAAATTCCCAATAGTTAGTTAATATACCAATCAGTTCTTTTATCATCTGATCTTTTATTTTGTTGAATCCTTTTCTTTGCTCATCCCCGGCTGCCCTCCGACTTGGCTCCCACTTGGCTCCCGACGCGAAGTTGCTTCTGCATACACAGTGGGATCAGCACAAAGAACGTCATCAGCAGCAAAGCAGCCTTCGTCTTGCGTATGAAAAAACCAGCAATTTATGGCGAATTTCACAGGGAAAATGGTGGTAAACCATTGGGCCATTGGGTTTAGGGGATGTTCCCAACATTTTCAGGCAACCCCTGTTTTTTACTAATCTTTTGTTTCGACCAAAAATGGTAAGGTTCACCAACAGGAATAGTGGATTTGAGCAACAAACTGAGCTGATTTTACCAAAACATTATATAATCTGAACCAAGAAGAACTAGGAGTTACATACTAGAAATTAACCAACCGCAAAATATAAGATTAGTTTAGTATGTAACTCCTATGTTGGCCAGCAAACAATATATATAAGGAGTTACCTACTTGGCCCAAAATTTTGACACATATGTTTAGTTGGCCAGCAAACAAAAAAAATGCCAACAAGAAATGTGGATGTGATCGACAAAAAAAAACAGCATTTCATCCAACAAACATGGAGATTCTATTTTTGGCAATGGCGATAGTCCACAATCAACAAATATTCAATGGCCATTTCAGGAACCTAAATTGGAGGTACCTACCATATTTAAGGCCTATATAAGGCATATGTAAGGGAATATCCCCAGAAACTATGGTCTTATATGGTACAGTGCCTCCATTTTAGGATCCTGAAATTCCCATTGAAATGTGGAGATATACCCGTTGGTTATTTAACGTAGCGAACTGGAAAATCATCATTTTTAATAGGTAAATCATCATGTTTATGATTATCATCATTTTCCATGGCTATGTTACATAACCAGAGTGTAACATCAGAAGTCATTTGGGTATGGTTTTCTGAACTGACCCATTCTGCTTCGCTGCTTCAGTTGATTTGGGCGGAACATGTCACAAACTCCCTGCTCTCCACGGATGTAAAATGACAAAATGACGTTGGACAATGCAACTCCAAAGTCTTCCGATTCGAGTATGGCTTGACAATCCCATCCCCTAATATTAAACACCCCCTAAACGAAACCATGGTTTAGTAGGGAAATTCCACATAATTGGAACCATTTATGGGGTGTTTAATATTAGGGGGATGGCTTAATACATGCTATGTGGCATGCTCATCCCGCGGAAACCCACACAGGAAATCAGTAAATCAGAGGGATTGAGATCGTCTCCATCAATGGGAATGCCAGGATCCTATATATATATGTATATATATATGTGTGTATATAATATAATATATATATATATATGTATGTGTATATATATATATATGGTAGGTACGTTAGTACCATATAAGACTCGTATTTTTGGCCATATTTTCTGATGATATTCCCTGAAATTTAGGCCTAAAAAATAGGCCTTATATATGGTAGGTACCTCCAATCAATCGGTTCCTGAAATTGCCATATGTTGGGTGTATATCCCCTTACATAGGTTCAAAATCCCTCTATAATTCCATGAAATACTGGTTGGTTTAGAACGGGATTCCCCGTTCTTGGATTACTAGAATCCCCAATAGATAAAGGGTAGATTTGGGTAGTATGATCCCCGAACTCATCATCAACCAACAAGGGTTTTGAACACTGCTCATATGGGAAATTTGCCCAAGTTTTGACTTAAACTGGGCACCTTGGGGTAATGATGAGGTAGAATATCACCCATATTTTGGATAAAATGAAATGTTCTAGTATTTGGGGGTAAATATGGCACCCTTCATTTTTTTCAAACTTGGGCACCCCAAAATAGTAGATGATCTGCCACTTAAAATGAGCAAAACAAATGTAGAAATGTCTTTAAAGCCTGACCGAAAGCCACAGAGTCTTGGAGATGTCCCATTCAAGTGATGTGTACCTGTCAATGATAAAATTACCCTGTGGTAAACGTTTACATAACTGATGGGAAAATCACCATTTTCAATGGGAAAACTCACTATAAATTGTCATTTTCAATAGCTATTTTGACATAACCAGAGGGTCATCTACAAATTTTGGTGGATTTTCCAGCAAGCCAGGTTCGTTCGATTAGCGTACGAGGTACGGCATTCCAGGTGTTCCAATCTAAAGGTCTTCTGGAATGGACTGCTAGTCAATCAACGGTTAAAAATCCAGGCTTACCTTCCGGTAATCAAACATCTGGGTAAATGATCATAATTCACCAACCTGAATCTTAAGGCCCGTTTCCTTCCCATAGGGGCCTGTGTCCAGCAGCTGCGGAACACAGACCCTTTGTCAAAGAACGCACTCCGCTTAGATTCAAGCGGGAGAACTAACATCTGAGTTTCATAGCTGCTTTGCAGCTCATCCCCTGCCTCGCTGTTTCACACGTTTTCTGTATTTCAGACGATCTTTCAAGGCGGTCCAGTCATGGTCCTGCAACTCACCTTCACGCTGTTTCAACCAATGTGCGTCAAATTGTATGTCATAGTTGGATCGACCTTCCAACCTAGGGGCCAAAAAAGTTGCAACTTCTGCTTGAAAAGGATACGCGGGTCTCAAAGACAAGCCACTGGAGTTCTGTTGAAAACCTTGGATATACAAACTGGTTTGCAGTCCTCTTCCACACTGCGGGAACGCACTTTTGGGCAAAAATATCTGAAGTTGCGACCACATCTTCTGAAAAGTGGCCGCCATGTCAGACATTGTAACTGTGTGTGCTGCGACATCCCGTGAGTCCTCAACCATCAACAGTCTAACTTGCTTGGAGCTGTTAGTCCTTAGAATAGGCAGAGCTTTTTGAATAAACATGCTGAAAGAAACTGACAATTCCAACCATGTAATTCCCCCCTCTTTCTCAAAAGGTCCTTGAGGATGCGATGGCCAGGAAAGGAGTTTCATCCATGTTACAAGTTGCAAAGCTAAATCCCGTCCCCAAGAAAAACTATCCTGCCACTCTTCAAAGTCATCAGGGAAAACCAAACTCTGTGTTTCATATGGCATCCACTGTTGGACAGCTCTAACGGCGGGTGCACGATCCAACTTGGCATTCTGCGGGACGGATGCCTGTTCCTGTCTATGCAAAAGGTCTGCCGCCTGGCTACGTGCCTTGCACAGGGCAAGTTGCAATTGGTACACATGGAAAAGCAAATCCCGTGCTGTTTGGACTGATTCGTGTTGCTTCTGAAGTTCCTGCTGCCATGGCTTGAGAAGGTTCTCACAAGTTTCACCTGCTGTCTGATCTGCCATTGCATTTCCCAAGACATGGTATAATTCAAGCAAATCGGTGATATGGTCAAACTGCTGATGGGCCTTAATTTTGCAAAGCCTGGCAACGTCAAAGTCCAAACGTTTCAGATCCCACAGGAGATCAGCATTGGACATGTTATGAAAAGTGCTGGCTTCTCTGACAACTTTAGCCGCCTGGGTCAAGGCATACTGGCTATCACTGTGTATGATACCCGCTGGTAGTTGTGCTGCTGTTGCAATTGCAGCTAGTTCCGCCCTGTTCACATTTTGTTCTCCCTTTACTCTAGCCGCAAAGCAAGGGACAAGTGATGGTGGCCATTGGCCAGTGCACAAAAACTGGTCTGCAAAAATTCGCCTCTGCTGATCGCACTCAGCGGTATCAATGACGCCCGCGTATGCCGCGTATCTTGTGGTGGGGTGAGATGGGTGACGGCAACTACCGTCTGTGTAGATGTGATATTTTTGTCCTGTTTTGGCTCTTTTATTGGCAAACGTCAGAATTTCAGGAGGTATTATGGGTAGTGGCTGTTGGAAATGTAACAGATGGTGCATCTCGTTATCTGGAGACATGTGTATGACTGCCATATCGCTGAAACACAGACCTTCTTCCTCCACACGCTTTAACACTTCTGTAAAAGGTTCCCTGGTCTCCTGGAACGCAGGACAGTGATAAAGTCTATGCTCTTTGCTATCACTGTCGCCACAGAACATGCACTTGCCATCAGCATCAGCAGCCCAATGCTGCTTTTGGCCCTCCAGCTGGAAAGCGCCAGCTAGCTCGCGCAAAAGCTGCCTGCGCTCATGGTCATGGATTTTTTTTAAAATGGCAATAGTGTCTGCTCTAGAAATATCCGGCAAAGAGTACTGGCTGTACCTGGCCGTCTGCATCATGATGAGCTGGTTTTGCCATGCCAAATCCAAAAAGTGCCTGAGACGCCTGAAACCATCAGTGACAAGGTGAACCTTGACTGTGCCCTGAACATGGACAAAGCCACTCCTGTCAATGTGCCATGCAAATTTTGAGAAGTAGTGTTTCAAAGTGGAGGCAGGTCCTTTTGTTTGCTTGCTGCCTCCGGTGAACTGTGCGGCAATCTCAAAGAACTGGCACGGGCAGGTTCGGCCTGGATGGAAAGCCAATGGACAGCAGCTCGCATTGCCTGCAGGATTACATAGTATTCTGGGTCCAAAATGGCGCCGTTTGTCAGAAAAAGTGGGATCGCCGGTGACATGCTTGGTGAGTGCCCCAACAACGCGTCTGCCGCAACTGAACGCACCTTGGCCAACATATCAATGGACACGGGAAAAATTTCAGTGCCGTAAAAAGCGGCAGGGTAGATACTGGTTTGCAAGACATGCTCTCTGGTGGAAAGTTCATGCGGCAATCCTGCAAGCTTGGACAACCGCACAAGGCCTGACTCAAAACGCTGTTTCCTGTGACCAAGTTCTCTGCATCCGGAATAGTGCAGCTGGAAACCCAAGTCTTTAGCATTGTGCATGCGCTGGATTTGTTCTCCTGGCGGCGCATCCTTCAGTGACTCCAAAGTCTTTTTTGCTGTAGAGCTGGAAGTTGCCCAAAACCATGTTTTGAGCCAGCCTATGGACAAACCACAAAGTTGGGTAACTCTACTAGTTGCAAGAGCGGCCGGACCATGGTCGTTGATCTGGGCCGACATCCATGTCCAGTTGTCTGCGTATGCAGAGGCTCTGATACTGCTACTGGTATTGGCTTTGATAGTCATCCACCAAAGGAGTGCAATTGCCAACATGATTAGTACCGAATGAGAATCCCCTTCAGCAAATCCACATGAGGCAAAGATTGGGCCAAAGCATTGGCCGTCAACCTCCCAGAATCGACCCATTTTCAAGATGCTTTGATAGAACTGGTTGATGTGGTCACTTGGCAAACCTAGTGCAAGCAGCAAACGGCGGCCGCACTCGTGCCGAATGCAGTTAAAACACTTTTTAATGTCCAATGTCACTCCCGCCAGGTGCTCGGAGAAAACATGGGCAATTTCGAGTTCGATCTGCATGGCATATGCGGCATCATGGGAACCTCTGGATGGCAACATGCCACAGATTTCTTTGGGGAACCACCTCCCCCAGAAACTTAAAACTTGCCGGCAAAAAACTGAAGCAAAAACCCTATAGAGTTGGCTTAGAACACAAATGGGTCTGCTCTGCGAAGGCATAGGTGTATCTTCCGTTTTACTTAGGGCGCAAACCCGTGCACGCATGAACCAGGAAGGAAAGCCTTGCTTGTAGCTTTTGCAGACAACTATCAGATCCTGCACCAGCTCATCCGGTATGTCCTTGAGCTCCTGTGCTGACACTGCATCGAAACCTCTGCCAGAAGACGCTTTGATGTTTCTTATGGCATGCTTCCACGCTGGAAGCGAGTTGTCAAAAACGAAAGCCTCTGGTGGTGTTGGCAAAAGATTCACCAATGCTTCAAATTCTGGCCATGGTTCATCAGGTGACAAATCATGTGTGTTTTGCCACAAGGGCTGCCAGTAGTTTGTGAGCTGGTCTGCGACTTGGTGTGGATCGACCACAAAGTGCTTTTGTGTGAGGTCAGCTTCCACATCCATGGTCGACGGGAGGTCATGGAACTGCAGTGTGAATGAGCTATCATCTTTGGCTATTATCCATCCATGGGAATCAGCAACCAAAACAGGGGACATCGTGTTGAATGCTTCTGGGGATTCACAAACGCAAGAAACCTGCTTCACCTCTGGCACCCAGGTTAACTGACATCTTTGTTTCGCAGGCAAGTACACCTCCCTGATGGGCAGGGGAGGGGCTTGTTTGACCCTTGAAAAAGCACTTGTAGAGCCATGGAATTTACGATCGCAGAACCTGGTGAACTGTGCCTTTTTGGCAAAAGTCTTATAGTCGTTGGCCACCGCCATTGTCACTTCATGTTTTACAATTTGTTTGACATCTTGGAGGGTTGCAGCTGAAGGCAGAGGCCACTGTGGGTGGCCTAGCTCTGGCATTGTTGTCATCCAACTGTAAAAAGGCATGCCGAAACAACAAGACTTCAGGATAGTGCTCCACTCCTGCTTCATTTCTTTGACACGCTCGGGGTTGGCACAGTTTTGTTTTTCATGGTTTTGGATCCTACGGAAGAGGCATTCTAGACGTCGCAACTGCTTTATTTTTCGTTTTGTTGGCATGGTGTTGACTTCGAACATGGGGTCATAATCACCTGAGCGAGCCTTTTTCACTGCTGCAAAAACTGGTGTCTTAACTGGTTCCCTGGGTTGACACCGGCCGCGATAGGCCCTGGTGAGGTGAGTAGCACCCCCGCCCGTTGCTTGGTGTGCGGCAATGACAGCTTTGTCTACGACTGCTTCCAGTTTTTCCCCCCACTGTTCAAGTGTGGTTGGAACGGCGGTGGTAGGAATTTTCAGGAGAGCTGCTTGCAAATCTTTCTTCTCAATTCCTAAGGCAGTCCAACTTTGAGGCATTTTTAGTTTGCAGCGATATAGGTCTGGTGTGGGTAATTGGAGGGAAAACAAAACAGGCTGATGTGTGGCAAACCATTCGGGTGACAAAACTTTGATATGGCCAATAAAAGGGATAAGGTGGCTTGAGATTATGGCATTGTCCGGTCTTGTGGTACCTTGACATGTTGGTGGCATGGCTTGTGCATATTTGCGGCTATGTAGGTCGATAAGATCCGCACATCCCTTTTGGCAAAAAACTGACCAAATTGGCAAATTATACAACTCCATGTTAAAATCCCCGCAAATTACAAATGGCAATGGAACCCTCATGGCCTGTCGAAGGGTCATGGTAAGCAAGGAGTTGAGGAATTCTTTAGCATTTGGGTGATTTTGTGGTATGCCATAAAGGGAAAAAACCTGAAGAAGAGAAACTGCACACCCTTGATGAATGCGGTCGTCAAACAAGTCTTTGCAACCTTTGAGAAGGTTTGAAAATCCCCGGTGATTTCTTGATCTGCATCAGTGAGCCACTTCACATCCTTGTTGGTGCCCGTCTGAAAAAGATTCAAACAGAGAATGTAGGCTCTGATCAGGTAGAACTTCACCTTCACCGTCGGATCCCAGACCTTGGCCTTCGAAGCAACTTCTCTTTCAAGATGTGCCGAAGTCATCGAGGCATCAACAAAGGCCATCTTGACTGCCGTCCCAGCCATGGAAACCATAGCCTCGCTTGTGTTCTTCGATTCAACATACCAGGCAGTATGGTGATTCGCATTCAATGTTTTGATTTGAGGATGATTCCCCTATAAAAACCCATGGATTTCCAGGTTCGGGAGAACAGGCTTCGGTCGTTATTTGTCGATGATTTTCCCAGCCAAAAAGAACCCTCCATGGGTTCTTTAGGGATCTCCCAGCTAATTGATCCAAGTTGACCAGATCTTTTTGATATAACCATAGTATAACCATAGATATAAAACCATAGGACCATAGTTGATGAATGGGGTATATAATCATATATAACCATAGTATACCCATAGATCTTGGTTATATCCCCATGTTGGTTGCTGACCCCCAAAATTTCTTGCTTATGTCCCCTATTCCAAGTGGTTTCAAGGTATCTAATTCAGGAAAACCATCACTTATTTTGTTGGTTAAACCTCCATGTTCAGCTTGCTGGAAAATCCACCAAATTTAGTTCGATGATTTTCCAGCTAGAAGCCTCCATTTATAGTGGAGTTTCCAGCGGCCCGCCACGTTTGATGACACCGAGGGGAACACCAATAATTATTCATTAGTCATTCCTCAATTATCCATGTATATTATATATATATACAGTAATTTCTATATCCATGATTGTTGGTTAAGTATATCCCATGATGGTTGGTTAAATCCCCCAGTATTCAACATATTCACACCTCCGGTTTCAGATCGAATCCATTGGTTTTTGTATGGACTCCACCCAAAAATCCGCACGCCTGCGATGTTGCCATAATCCCCTGCACGCCGCAGAAACGCCTAAGGGCGTTGAACAACTGGAAGGACTGGCAGCAGTCTCAACTGGAACCAGTCGAAATATGGGATTTTAATGGGATTTTAATGGGATTCTAATGGAACTTAATGGAATTTTAATGGGATTTTAATGAGATTTTATGGTGATCAATAGGGATTGATGGAACTTACCCTCTGGTAAACATACAAAAAGCTATTGAAAATTGCAATTTATATATAGTCGATTTACTCCCAAAAAAATGCTGGGTTTTCCATCGTTTTTTGGGTGAGTTCGCCAGAGGGTAACATCCCTTACCCTAGGGTAAACTAACATGTGGAAGCCATGACCCCTTTATGGATGAATTACCCCAGCCAAAGTTGCAGCAAACGTGGTGATTCGCCAGGTCTTAGTGTTACTTTGCCCCTGGTACCCAATGAAAATAAGATACTATCTGGTTATTTAACATAGCCATGGAAATCACCATGTTTAATAGGTAAACCATCTATAAATGGGCCATTTCCCATGGCTATGTTAAATAACCAGAGGGTAAACATAATAGTAACCCATTGTATAATGTTGGAAGTAGGGTATATCCCATCATCTTACAGTTCTTCGAGGGAAGTATCTCCAACCATCCCTAGATCAAAGCGAAAATTGGGGAGATACCCTGCAAGATTTTCAGGTGATTTTTAGCTCAGTCGGTCAATATCTCCCCATCAAAAGTATCAAAAGCGCAAGAAAATGAAGCATAAGACTAACCTACCCTCTGGTAATTTAACATAGTTATTGAAAATGGCCATTTATAGTGGATTTTCCCATTAAGAATGGTGATTTTCCATTGCTATGTTAGTTCACCAGAGGGTATATTGCATTTTACCAAATTGTATCCCATTATTGGTTGCAGTGCTTAGATATCATGTTATCTCGCCTAATTTATACATGATGCTATCTCCCCCAACTTCATCAGTCTTACCATCTGGTTATTTAACAGTTTGCCATGGAAAATCACCATTTTTAATAGGTAAACCCAGGTAAACCATCTATTTCTATGGGCCATGGCTTCCATGGCTATGCAAGAAATAACCAGATGCTATTCCTATCAACCCCCATCCCAAGTCCCTGCTGATACCCGGCTGAACGTTCAACGGTTAGGGCACAGGATGCGCGCAAAGGACTCGCTGATCACGATAGCGAAGGCCAAGCACCTCAGGATGCATCGAAGGTTGACTTTACCCAGTAATAAGCCGCGAAAATGGTGATGTTGATGATCATTGAATGAGGATCTAATCAGGATAGAATGGAATGTACAACTAAGGCAGTCATGGTCAAGAGGTATGATTCATAGTCATCCCACGCCATCGGACTCCTTATAATGGGTATATACAACCCTATGAAAAAGGATTGATGACCCTGCCCCAATATTGGTATATAATCCATCTCTTGACTCGACTCTCGCATGAACTCAGAGCTCCACAATGACACAGCCCCGGACTCTGGTGGTGGGGTCAGTGCATTTGAGACTATGGTGACTGAATATCATGAAGGTCAAGAGAAGACCAGGGCCAACAATCGGAGCGCCCCAAGAGTTGGTATACGATAAGAACATGCATCATGCACATAATTGTAGTGTCGCAATCTCTTGACCATGGCATGACAACTGGGTTATGATAAGCTTCGATGGGATAAGGTGGTGTTTGGTATTTTGGGCATTGGTCAAAACCCTAGTAACCTGGGTTTTCACATCAAAACTGGATGGATTTATGTATGTTCATGTCCCCAAAATATGGTGTAAGAGGTTTTGACACATCAGCATTATATAATTCTATAATTTAGGGGATGGTATTGTCCAATAACAACAACAGTGACAACAATTACTGTTGTCAGGGGAAAAAAAATTACACCGGCATAGACCCCAGATAGAAAAGGTTGGAACTGATGGTTCCCAACGTGGGAACCAAAGGTTACCATGGCAAGGAACTGCCAGTTCCCAGACCTTGAAACTTACGGTTCCCAACCTGGGAACCAGAGGTTACCATTGCAAGGAATTGCCGGTTCCCAGAAGTTAGAATTTATGTTTTCGAAGCTAAGCAACTATCATTGTAAGGAACTGCAGATTCCCAAATTTTGAAACTCATGGTTCCAAAGCTGAAAAAGCATACGTTACCAGTGGAAGGATCTGTTGATTTCAAAAAATAGAAATCATGGTTCTTAAGGTTGTTTTGTTTTGTTTACTGAGCCGGTAACAGAACGATTTGTTTTGCTTAATGGACCGGTAGCGGAATGTTTGCGTTCGGCTGCTGGGCCGGCTTAAAAATGTGTTTGCACGAAAAAGGTGCATGTTAAAATGATATGAAAACAATCTCTTTGCAACTTTATGGTTTTGCGTAATGGACCGGTAAAGAACGCTTTGTTTTGCTTAATGGACCGGTACCGGAATGTTTGCGCTTGGTTCATGGCAAGGAACTGCCGGTTCCCAAAGGTTGGAACTCACTGTTGCCAACGTGGGAACCACAGGTTACCATTGCAAGGAACTGCCGGTTCCCAGAGGTTGGAACTCCTGGTTCCCAACCTGGGAACCATGGGTTACCATTGCAAGAAACTGCCGGCTACCAGAGGTTGGAACTCATGCTTCCCAACCTGGGAACCATAGGTTACCATTGCAAGCAACTGCCGGTTTCCAGCGGTTGGAACTCATGCTTCCCAACCTGGGAACCATAGGTTACCATGGCAAAGAACTTCCAATTCCTAAAGGTTGGAACTGATGGTTCCCAACGTGGGAACCAAAGGTTACCATGGCAAGGAACTGCCAGTTCCCAGACCTTGAAACTTACGGTTCCCAACCTGGGAACCAGAGGTTACTATTGCAAGGAATTGCCGGTTCCCAGAAGTTGCAATTTATGTTTTCGAAGCTAAGCGGCTATCATTGTAAGGAACTGCGGGTTCCCAAAGCTTGAAACTCATGGTTCCAAGCCTGAAAAAGTAACGTTACCAGTGGAAGGATCTGTTGATTGCAAAAAGTTAGACCTCATGGTTCTTAATGTTGTTTTGTTTTGTTTACTGAGCCGGTAACAGAACCTTTTGTTTTGCTTAATGGACCGGTAGCGGAATGTTTGCGTTTGGCTGTTGGGCCGGCATAAAAATGTTTTTGCACGAAAAAGGTGCATGTCAAAATGATATGAAAACAGTTTCTTTACAATTTTATGGTTTTGCTTAATGGACCGGTACAGAACGCTTTGTTTTGCTTAATGGACCGGTACCGGAATGTTTGCGTTTGGTTCATGGCAAGGAACTGCCGTTCCCAAAGGTTGGAACTCACTGTTCCAACGTGGGAACCACAGGTTACCATTGCAAGGAACTGCCGGTTCCCAGAGGTTGGAACTCCTGGTTCCCAACCTGGGAACCATGGGTTACCATTGCAAGAACTGCCGGTTACCAGAGGTTGGAACTCATGCTTCCCAACCTGGGAACCATAGGTTACCATTGCAAAGAACTTCCAATTCCTAAAGGTTGGAACTGATGGTTCCCAACGTGGGAACCAAAGGTTACCATGGCAAGGAACTGCCGGTTCCCAGACCTTGAAACTTACGGTTCCCAACCTGGGAACCAGAGGTTACCATTGCAAGGAATTGCCGGTTCCCAGAAGTTAGAATTTATGTTTTCGAAGCTAAGCAACTATCATTGTAAGGAATTGCCGGTTGCGAAAGCTTGAAACTCATGGTTCCAAACCTGAAAAAGCATACGTTACCAGTGGAAGGATCTGTTGATTCCAAAAAGATAAAGATCATGGTTCTTAATGTTGTTTTGTTTTGTTCACTGAGCCGGTAACAGAACCTTTTGTTTTGCTCAATGGACCGGTAGCGGAATGTTTGCGTTTGGCTGTTGGGCCGGCATAAAACTGTTTTTGCACGAAAAAGGTGCATGTCAAAATGATATGAAAACAGTTTCTTTACAATTTTATGGTTTTGCTTAATGGACCGGTACAGAACGCTTTGTTTTGCTTAATGAACCGGTACCGGAATGTTTGCGTTTGGTTCATGGCAAGGAGCTGTCGGTTTCCAAAGGTTGGAACTCACGGTTGCCAACGTGGGAACCACAGGTTACCATGGCAAGGAACTGCCGGTTCCCAGAGGTTGGAACTCATGCTTCCCAACCTGGGAACCATAGGTTACCATTGCAAAGAACTGCCGTTTCCTAAAGGTTGGAAATGATGGTTCCCAACGTGGGAACCAAAGGTTACCATGGCAAGGAACTGCCAGTTCCCAGACCTTGAAACTTACGGTTCCCAACCTGGGAACCAGAGGTTACTATTGCAAGGAATTGCCGGTTCCCAGAAATTAGAACTTATGTTTTCGAAACTAAGCAACTATCATTGTAAGGAATTGCCGGTTGCGTAAGTTTGAAACTCATGGTTCCAAACCTGAAAAAGCATACGTTACCAGTGGAAGAATCTGTTGATTGCAAAAAGTTAGACCTCATGGTTCTTAATGTTGTTTTGTTTTGTTTACTGAGCCGGCAACAGAACCTTTTGTTTTGCTTAATGGACCGGTAGCGGAATGTTTGCGTTTGGCTGTTGGGCCGGCTTAAAAATGTTTTTGCACGAAAAAGGTGCATGTCAAAATGATATGAAAACAGTTTCTTTACAATTTTATGGTTTTGCTTAATGGACCGGTACAGAACGCTTTGTTTTGCTTAATGGACCGGTACCGGAATGTTTGCGTTTGGTTCATGGCAAGGAACTGCCGGGTCCCAAAGGTTGGAACTCACGCTTGCCAACGTGGGAACCACAGGTTACCATTGCAAGGAACTGCCGGTTCCCACAGGTTAGAAGTCATGGTTCCCAACCTGGGAACCATAGGTTACCATTGCAAAGAACTTCCAGTTCCTAAAGGTTGGAACTGATGGTTCCCAACGTGGGAACCAAAGGTTACCATGGCAAGGAACTGCCGGTTCCCAGACCTTGAATCTTACGGTTCCCAACCTGGGAACCAGAGGTTACCATTGCAAGGAATTGCCGGTTCCCAGAAATTAGAATGTATGTTTTCGAAGCTAAGCGGCTTTCATTGTAAGGAACTGCGGGTATCCAAAGCTTGAAACTCATGGTTCCGAGCCTGAAAAAGTAACGTTACCAGTGGAAGGACCTGTTGATTGCAAACAGTTAGAACTCATGGTTCTTAATGTTGTTTTGTTTTGTTTGCTGAGCCGGTAACAGAACCTTTTGTTTTGCTTAATGGACCGGTAGCGGAATGTTTGCGTTTGGCTGTTGGGCCGGCTTAAAAATGTTTTTGCACGAAAAAGGTGCATGCTAAAAAGATATGAAAACAGTTTCTTTACAACTTTTTGGTTTTGCTTAATGGACCGGTAAAGAACGCTTTGTTTTGCTTAATGGACCGGTACCGGAATGTTTGCGTTTGGTTCATGGCAAGGAACTGCCGGTTTCCAAAGGTTGGAACTCACGGTTGCCAACGTGGAAACCACAGGTTACCATTGCAAGGAACTGCCGGTTCCCAGAGGTTGGAACTCCTGGTTCCGAACCTGGGAACCATGGGTTACCATTGCAAGCAACTGCCGGTTCCCAGAGGTTGGAACTCATGCTTCCCAACCTGGGAACCATAGGTTACCATTGCAAAGAACTTCCAGTTCCTAAAGGTTGGCACTGATAGTTCCCAACGTGGGAACCAAAGCACAGCACGCTACAGCACCCTGCACAGCACCCTGCACAGCACCTTTCACAGCACCCTTCACAGCACCCTGCACAGCACCTTTGCGAGACTTCGCCACCGCAGTCTGGATAGCGCACCTTTGCCAGACTTCGCCACCGCAGTCTGGACAGCACCCTGC